AAGTTTCACATCATGGACAGTGATGGTGAAAATGTCACAATGTTGGATAGTGATTGGTGAAAGTGTCTAAATATTGAACAGTGATTGTTCAAAGTATCACAATATTGGACAGTGATTGGTCAAAATGTCACAATATTGGACAGTGATTGATCAAAGTTTCACATCATTGGACAGTGATTGGTGAAAATGTCACAATGTTGGATAGTGATTGGTGAAAGTGTCTAAATATTGAACAGTGATTGTTCAAAATGTCACAATATTGGACAGTGATTGTTCAAAGTATCACAATATTGGACAGTGATTGGTCAAAATGTCACAATATTGGATAGTGATTGATCAAAGTTTCACAATATTGGACAGTGATTGGTGAAAATGTCACAATGTTGGATAGTGATTAGTGATAGTGTCTAAATATTGAACAGTGATTGTTCAAAGTATCACAATATTGGACAGTGATTGGTCAAAATGTCACAATATTGGATAGTGATTGATCAAAGTTTCACAATATTGGACAGTGATTGGTGAAAATGTCACAATATTGGATAGTGATTGATCAAAGTTTCACAATATTGGACAGTGATTGGTGAAAATGTCACAATGTTGGATAGTGATTAGTGATAGTGTCTAAATATTGAACAGTGATTGTTCAAAGTATCACAATATTGGACAGTGATTGGTCAAAATGTCACAATATTGGACAGTGATTGATCAAAGTTTCACAATAATGGACAGTAATTGCTCATAGTGTCACAATATTGGACAGTGATCGGTCAAAATGTCACAATATTGAACAGTGATTGCTCAAAGTATCATAATAATGGACAGTGATTGCATAACCAATCATCTCTCATTTATCAAAGACTGAAACCATTTTTTTTTTATTTATTTACTTCAGGAGCATACAATCCAGTATCACTTGCATTGTTTTTCATCTGCTATTTTTTTTTGGCTTGTTGGACTTATGGTCTACCTGTTCCTAGTGGTATATTTATACCATCATTATTAACTGGTGCTGCATGGGGTAGACTGATTGGTATGCTGGTCAATTCAATGGTAGATGACACGGTGAGTGTAATTAAGTTGTATATTGAATTACTGACACTCAAAGAACCAATTTCGGAAAACTGAAAATGTTATATGGACACAATAATTGTTCAAATATTTTAATGGAAAATTATTTTTGCAATTGTCTATAATTATTTTGTCAATTTTTGATCAAATAAACTTGACTTTAATTGACTCTTGTATTGACATATCAAACAAAATGTGTAAATGATAACTAAAATAGTGACAGACATATTAATTTGTCAAGGGTTTTGTTAAGGTAGAAGCCTAGTCATAATTTTTGACAAAATTGGTCATAAATCGCATGACAATGTTCATTAGTTTATTATGTACAATCATGAAGCTAATGTCTCATAGTATAATGAAATGGCATTATTTTTGTGTTACAGTTAAGCTTTTTGAGAAACGTGTCCCAATATTTCTTAAAAATTAGAACAATTCCATAGAACATAATGTTAAAGAAAAAATATATTTTTTGACACTTTTTAAAACCCAGATTTTTTTAATAATACAGAACAACAAAAGGTACTCCATCATTAACAATATATGATTTTTTCAGCCTATGTCACCAGGCTAGATTTTGAGATATTGCATAATATAATAAGGTAAAAGTGTTATAATAGTGTCAAAATGGCGACTTTCCACTAAAATACAACCATTAATTTCTCGAAAAAAAGGCTGGTGACCCCCAACTTTTTTTAGGTCAATATCCTTATATTGCCTTGGAGTACAATTTATTGCAAAATGAATAAATTCTGGGTTTTTTAATTTATGAGTAGGCTTCTATCTTATGGCAATAAATGTCCTTGAGATTAACAACACATAACAGTGAAATAGCACAGGTGGGGTTGACAATGTATTTGGCATCTGCGAATGTTGACTGTATTTAATTTGTTTTATGTACTCTACTGCATTCTGTAATTATGTCAGTTCTATTTTTAGTAACACTATGAAATCATCACGAATAATTAGCAGAATGTAATAATATAGTGTTAAAATATTGTTGAGAAATATAATAATTTCTGTACAGAATATAGATGTTGGGAAGTATGCATTGATTGGTGCCGCTGCTCAGCTCGGCGGTATACTGCGAATGACAATTAGCTTAACTGTAATACTTATAGAAGCTACGGGCAACATGTCTTTCGGGTTACCAGTGATGTTGGTATTGATGATGGCACAGTGGGTCGGTAATATGTTTAATAAAGTAAGTTACTTTCATGACTCCATCCTTTTTTCTTCATTTCAATAAATTGATACTGCAGGTTGCTTTGCGTAACAAAAAAGTGAAAACAAAAAATTTATAGCATAGTTTGCAAATTGTGCCAGAAAGTACTCCATAATGTGATTATTAAACTGAGGTTTTTTTAATTCGAACATACAAAGTAAACCCCACAGAAATATTGACAGACATATTTACAATGGTTGTAGCACTAGTGTTTGAAATAAAATGTTCTCATGTTTATATTTAATTGGTTTCATGTACTGAACAACATAGATTTCATAGTCATAATTAACGTTATTGGTTATTTATCCAATTACTAAAAGTGTTTTCTTGGTCATTCTAAAAAATTAAAGACGCTATGAAAATATTGTATAAAAAGAAACTAAAACTTGATTTATTATATTTTTTTTGTGTGTTTCAGGGATTATATGATATTCATATATCTTTAAATGGTGTCCCATATCTAGGATGGGAAGCGCCACCTATGTCAGCTAAAATATTTGCCAGGTAAGCAACAATAAAAATGGAGAATATGTGAACTTCCTGTATTTCCTGTATCATTTACAGATAAGGATATAACACTGCTCTACGTTCTCCAATAATGAGTTAAGATTTGATTATAATTATTCTGAAGTTATACGTCCTTGATGCAATAATTTCCCATTACCATGGAGATGCAAGAATTGTGCAGCACCAGCAATGGTGAAATTATTTTTTGCTACAAATCAAAACAAAAATTTCAAAATGCAATCAGTCTGGTGAAAACTTTTATCTGGCCTGAAAAGAAAATCAGTTAATCATTTCATATTCATTGTCTTCAGGGAAGTGATGTGTGCTCCAGTAATCACACTGCATACAGTTGAGAAGGTTGGTGATGTGGTTGACCTTTTGACCCGTGAAATACACAATGGTTTTCCTGTTGTAGATGAATTGGAAGAAGATGAGCAGGTATGTATGCACCAAATGAAATAAGAAAAATTGTAGTTAAAAAGAAAAATACATTTTGTATCTACACTCCCTATGTAATGAACTGCTCTCCTTGCCAATGACCCACCCAGTTACAGAATGGAATGCTCTGCTTATTAATATAACTCCATTATATAGGAGAGGGAAGATAAAAAATATATTTTGTATTTTTTTAAATATCATTTTTTTCTACTCCCTGTGTATGCACCCGTAAACATGGTAGACTATGGTTTAGTTATACTATTTTGTTATCATCTTTTACTGACAAATCACTTTCCTTGAAAAAAAGCAATATCAAATAGCCCCATGTGAAATATGGGTGGAATTTCTGTTTAAGTTGTTGTTAATATTCAAATTTGCAAACACATGGCTTGGTAGCGGGAGCTTATATGATTCGTATTACATGCAATGATGGCACGTAGTTTGATCAATAACAAATTGAGAAAGAATTTATAGCAACTAAGCTGACGATAGTGTTTTTTCTGACTAGAGTAAATATTATGCAAATAGTGTAGTTCTTGATTGGTTAAACCTGGTTGTTCCAAGTATACAGCTCACTCCTCTGACAAAATTGTGTCAGTTTTTTTTTTCACAAAAAAAAATGAGAAAACTATACATGAAATGGATAGTTTGCAGTATATATACAGTCAATATAATGCAGATAGTGTAGTTCTTGATTGGTTAAATTTTGGCTGTTCCAAGTATACAACTCCTACCTCTGACAATATTGTGTCATTGCATATTTATTTATTTTTTCACAAAAAAAATGAGAAAATTATAAATGAAATGGATAGTTTACAGTATATATACAGTAAATATTATGCAAATAGTGTAGTTCTTGATTGGTTAAACTTTGGCTGTTCCAAGTATACAACTCACTCCTCTGACAAAATTGTGTCAGTTTTTTTTTTTCACAAAAAATGAGAAAACCATAAATGAATTGGATAGTTTACAGTATATATACAGTAAATATTATGCAAATAATGTAGTTCTTGATTGGTTAAACTTTGGCTGTTCCAAGTATACAACTCCCTCCTCTGACAATATTGTGTCATTGCATATTTATGAGAAAATTATAAATGAAATGGATAGATCACAATATATATTTACATAGTTTCTGAATAAATACCACTCACATAAACATCAAATTTATGCATTGCAGTTAGAAGGAAATCATGGGCGACTGAAGGGGCTTATACTGCGTGAGCAATTGTCAGTGTTATTGAGACACAAGGTAAGACACTTCAAATGTTGTTGTAGTTAACCTCTGATTCACATTTATATTTGAATTCATTTTTGAGTTTGAATAGCTTTGAATTATTGACTCATAGCTTGTTTTTTAAAATTAATTTGTAGAAATATTCAAAGATATTGCCAGTGATTGACTCCCGTGTGCAAAGCACAAAAGGGAGTCTTTGCAGTTACCCTGTCTGTGTCTGTATGTATGTATGTATGTATGTATGTATGTCACTTTTTTTGTTCCACCGTTATCTCAAGAACCACTAATCAAATTTTGGTGAAACTTGGTACATAGATGCTCTGGGATAATGCGCAGAGTTGATTAAGTTTTGGTAAAAATCTATGAATATTAATTACCTAATTTGCATGATAATTAGCTGATTTTTAGCTGTTCCAATACTGTTCCACTGATATCTGAAGAACCACTCATTGGATTTTGATGAAACTTGGCACATGGATGCTCTGAACTAGTGCGCAGATTTGATTAGTTTTGG